CCCCCCCCCCCCCCCCCCCCCCCGCTAGCAGAAACTCATCTGTTAGTGCCCTATGTTGAGAGCTTTGCTTCTTTTCTTTTCCAGGAAGGCAGACGGCCGACGTAGGTTGGTTTTCAGCCAAGTTTGACGCCCCCTCCGCCTCCCAACACCGTTGCAGACCTCCCTCAGCGCGTTCATGGCGTCCCCACCCCTCACGATGCGCATCTTCCTAGCCCGGTCTCTACTCTATATCCAACGGCACAGTGCTCATGTGGAAAGGTGTGTATGACTGCAGGTACTAACTAGTACACGATGGCAATGCCTGCAGGAAGCCTGGCTGCACCTCGATCTTACGCTCCGCTACGTCCTCGCCGTCCGGCCCCCCTGCCCCTTCCCCTTTGCTGCCGTCGCAGAAGCGCGGACGCTTGTCCGCGCCGGCCATCCATACCGGCCGGTGGTGGCCAGGGGCTTCGTGTGTGGTCTATCTCTCCAACTGGCTTTCGCGGCGGGCGTTGCATTGGTATGTTGTACGCGTAGTGTAGAGACATAGTCGTACTGCAGGCCTTGCACCGGGCTTAGTATCATGTGACGTATCTGTGCCGCCTTTGCCAGTCTATCCTCCTCCTCCTCCTCCTCCTCCTCCTCCTCCTCGAGTGATTCTGGCGTGATATGCGCCCCGTCTTCCCCGCTGCTGGATTTGCAACGTTTCTTGTATTTCTGCGCAGTTCGTGCTCGGAGCGTAGCCCAGTGCTCCCACATGGTGGCCAGTGGATGGAGTCAAGATTGCGAGATGACTGATCAACGTGCGTACCTTCTTTTCCATGCAATACCGCTCTTGATATCTATACAGTGGCTGATGACGCATGCATCCTAGACCGGCTGTACGTCGGGGAGGTTATCATCCCCGAGTCACCAGGCCTGCCCAAGTCATGTTTGAACGGATTGCGTGGGAGTGCAATGCTACATTGCTCGATAGGATACAAATAGATGCTGCCAACTCTATAGATAGTAGTAATGATCGGATCGAAATATACCATACGGCCACCGCGTCGGTGCCGTGTGCCCTTCTATAATTAAGTTACTGAGTAAAGACCGTATGGGAAAAAAAAAAAAAAAAA